CCCAGGGCCTGGCCGAAATCTCGTGAACTCGCTGCAAGAGCATTGTGAATTCTTGCTCCTAGTAGCGTCCTTTGTTACTAGCAGCAATGCCAGGAGCCCCTAGTAGCTTCTTGCTCCTAGTAGCGATGCCCTTTGTTCCTAGTAGCGTCTTTGTAGAGTATTCAGCTTTTGAACGAGAGTAATAAAATGGTCAGGCACAACTTTTGTGCGTGGTCCCCTTTATTAAAGGGGGCCTTACCTCCTTTGTTTCCCTTCTTTTAACTTTAAGCAAATAACGTCTACATTGTTTTGTGCACTCTTCTTCAATTTTGCTCTTCTTGCTCTGTAGGTGCCGAGTGAAACTTTGAATAGCTTCCAAGTGAAGGATTTGGGACAGGTTGTGACAACAAGTGCGAACTCAGGCAGGGAAGCAACCAAGCAACCATCGAGCCTCAGCGAAGATAAGGATCAAGATCATGCCGACCTGTCAGAAGCTGAAAGAAATGGCAAAGCAAACTGCAAGTGCTTAATTAGGTAGTTCCGCTGTGTCACCTCGTGAATTCGCCCTGATGGGCAAAGTCTTTCAACAACAATTAATTGAACTCTGATCAATGACCTGGAGCAAGTTCTGGTCTGCTCAGCAAGAAAACACCCATATCTACTAACCCCCTTTGCATCCTTCCGCATCTATTGAGCGATGTCTCGCACCTCTCCACCCGTGATGCCATCTTCCCGGGACCCCGGACGAAGAGCCGTGGCTGTTGGGCATTGGCACGGACCCCCGCGTCGCCCACGATGCCGATCGCCAGGCCGGCAGCCAAGGAGCTCATGCCCACTGTGAGGCCTCAAACGGGCCAATCGCCCGTGCAGTACAGTGCAGCACTACAGTGCAGTACAGTGCAGTACAACAAGAGAAAGGGGCAACATAGGGTAACACTGACCGCCTAATTAATTAGTCTAGTTAGTTAGATAGCCAAGTCCCCAAGGGTGACGATGGGTTCTTCCAAAAAGTCGAATCTTCTTCGGCGTCTCCCTCAGCACAGCAGACATCTCTCTCCCCGTCTCCACCTGCACCCAGGTGTGCATAGCCGGAGTAGGCTGAGTAGTTTGCCGCATCCATCTTTCCGTTGATGATGACCTCTGATCAGGCTTCAAAAGTCAAAAGGAGTCTAAGTGATTCCACAAGAGAGCTGCCTGTACAAATAGGGGAGTAGGTAGGAAAACATCCTTTGCTTGCTGGAATTGTTTATTTCGATTATTTAGATAGAGCCAAAATGAAATGGAAAAGGGAGTTGGAAGGAAGGATGTGCACCAAATCCATTCAAATCCCTTTGGCCAAAGAAATGGCAGGTGAAAATGTGATCTGTGCTGCATTTGTTTCGTTCGCTGAGCTATACTGACGGCGGTGATCAAGCCGTAGATGCCCAACACACCCGCCATGACCTGAGTCGGGTCCATGTCTGGTCGCCATCCCAAGATGCAGGCAACCTGCCAATGGCGATGCCAAATGGTTCATGAAAAAGCGATTGGACCTGTTTTCGGGGAGGGTTGTTCAAGGATTACAACCCGACAAAAGCAACACTTCGTTCAAATGCGAATGTGATCAGTCTTGGAAATCCAATCCTTCAGGCGCGGACGACTGGGATGATGGACTTCATGATCATATCAGGTCGCATCACCTGAGCACATGCGGTGCACACAGCATGCTCAAGCATGCTCAATGCATGCTCCCAGTCTATTTCTTCGAGGAGTAAAGCATTTCTGAACCAGCACCAGCATGCACGAGCGCTCCACTATCTTCCTCTGCTTGCATCTGTTCAGACGTTCAACTGGTGTTTTCATCTGGGCTCGGATTCAATTTGTGATTTTTTGTTTTGTTTTGGGAATTTTTTTGTTTTTCATGTTTCGTGGCAGGGGCAGTACTTTGTGGACCTTGAAATGCTACTTTGTGGACCTTGAAATGCAGATTTCGTGGCAGGCGCAGGACTTTGTCGATGTTGAAGTGCGGATTTCGTGGCAGGCGCAGGACTTTGTGGATGTTGAAGTGCAGATTTGGTGGCAGGTGCAGGACTTTGTGGGACTTGGAGTGCAGATTTAGTGGCAGGCGCAGGACTTTGTAGACCTTGAAATGCAGATTTCGTGGCAGGTGCAGTGCTTTGCGGGCCTTGAAGTGCCGATTTCGATTTCGTGGCAGGTGAGGGACTTTGTGGATGTTGAAGTGCAGATAGATAGATAGATAGATAGGAAAGAAAGAAAGATAGAAAGATAGATAGATCGAGAGATAGATAAATAGATATAGACAGACAAATGGATAGGTAGACAGATTTGCATTGGAATAGTGTAGGTGTCAGACTATCACAACAGTTTGGTGCAGTTAGCAGAAAAGCAAAGAGAAAGGTTTCGTGGCAGGCGCGGGTGGCGGAGATGAAGTGCAGATTTCGTGGCGCTGCGCCCCCCCCAGCAGCACACCAGATCCAAAGGTGAGCAGCTCTTGCTTGCTTGCTTGCTGTCTTGCTTGCTTGCTTGCTTGCTTCCTTGTTTGGGTTCTTCTCTGCAAAGCGAATAAAACGAAAAGCACAACACAACAGACAGATAGACAGGCAGACAGATAGATATAGACGGATAGATATAGACAAATAGATGGATAGGTAGACAGATATATCGACAAATGGAGAATAGTGCGGAAAGAAGCTACGTTGAAAGCTGGGCGAGGTTGAAGTGGCCGTCAGCATCCACCATTGTGGTTTTTGCAGGTCGTCATGTGCCATTAGACACCTTCATAGTGAAAACCTTAATTAAAGACATGTTGTGTTTTGCGTGTCATGACAGAGGATAAAGGAATCGTTTGGATGAAAACATCTGGTAGCTGCGCCTCGGACATCACATTCCTCCAAAGATGGACTAGTAGCAAACAGCCACAAAAGCCAAAAGCCACAAAAGCCACAGAAGCCACGAAAGCCAAAAGCCACAAAAGCCACAAAAGCCACAGAAGCCACGAAAGCCACAGAAGCCACAGAAGCCACAGAAGCCACGAAAGCCACGAAAGCCACGAAGCCACAGAAGCCACGAAAGCCACAGAAGCCAAAAGCCACGAAAGCCACGAAAGTCACGAAGCCACAGAAGCCACAGAAGCCACGAAAGCCACGAAAGCCACAGAAGCCACAGAAGCCACGAAAGCCACAGAAGCCACAGAAGCCACGAAAGCCACAGAAGCCACGAAAGCCACGAAGCCACAGAAGCCACAGAAGCCACGAAAAACAAAAAAAACCTTTAAAAAAAACAAAAAAAAACCTAAATTAAATGGCCCTCCTTTTCATCTGGACCTTGTGGACCGCAACTGGAACGTCTGGGCGCCCAACTCCCATGGAGGCAATGCCAACGCCGCTCTTGGCAGTGCCGTAGGCCGCACCCAGGTTGGCAAAGACCAACGCGGAGGTCACGCCCATGAAGCTAAGCACGAGAAGCACGCTGCAAAGCGCTGCAAAGTGCCAACATGGAGCGAAGCTGAGTCTGGTTTACACGACTGACTAGTTGACCAAATTCCGAGGGTCATCTTTGACCTGTTAGGAAGTGAATCGGCGCGTGGATACACAAGACTCCCCCGTTGTGTTGAGACTACCAGCTACATGGCTGAGCGCTTCCCGTGTTGTTTTAGTGCAGTGAATGGGCACAACCTTGCGATAGATTTGCTGGAGAAAGGATGAGAAAGGTATGGCTTGTGACCAAGGACTTGTATCGCTTGTGACTAAGGAAAGGCCAGTCGCTTACGGGCCATGCATGGCCTGAATCAAAGCAGCTTCACACAATCCTCCTGGGCACCCCAGGCCCGAAAAAGGCGGAGGATGGATCACAAGGCTGCATGGCCTTGGGACAGGCAGTCCATCCATCTCAAAATCTGAGGAGTGCGTTTCAAACCGTTCAACGAAGTTAGCCGACATACCAGTTGAACAAAGGGATACAACATATCATACGGATTCATGTCCTTCAAGGAGTCCTGAGTAGGCTACCCCAATCGAAGTGTCCTGAATAATCTGACTTCAATTCCCAGTGGCTTTGGATCTGCTAAGGTCTTGTGCGAGATCAAGGCGGCCTTAGTAGAAAAAGGCACCGAACAACACAAAGTATTTCAGCATAGACAGCGTGAAAGCTGTGAAACCCTCTGTGTCTCAATGTTCAACCGCTTGATCGCGAAAATGCCCTGCGTCTTCGGGCCAAACCTCAGCTTCAGGCCTGTTCTGTGGTTTTCTCTACTTGAGGTCTCTTTTGAGCCAAAGGTCCACAGAGCCAAACGTTCATGGTGTCAAGACTTGTACATGGCTCGCTTGACTGCTGCAAAAGGGGTTAAAGGTGGCAGGCCCTGCCTTCGCGCTTGCTGTTGACCTGGGCACAAAAAGGTTCAACACAGTAAGATAACTCGGAAACCTTTATTCTTCGAATCCCACAGGGCATCATACAAATTGACATCTTGAATCTGTGTCGCAAACCCGATTCCGAACACCTCAGTTCCAGGCGGACGCTTCTCCAAGTTTGCTGTCTGACCCCGCCTTAGCTTGCATATGAAGATTCTGCTGATGCGACGGAAGGCTTGTAACTTCCAGTTTCGCCTGTCACAGAAACACGAACCGGCGAGGTCTGTGACCAGCTTCGGCCAACCATCAACATCTTTCGTCGCTCGTTGCAGTTCCGAGGTTTGTGAAAACTGCTCAAACTGCGCAGTTTGCCACCGTTTCCCGGCAGCCGGAGGCTCGCAAAAACACGTCTGAATCCGAGCAACGTGAGAAGGTTTTGGAAGAAATTCCTCGGCTGATAAAAGTTTAAGGAGACAAGGATTAAAAGCATGCCTTGGAAAAACAAGGTAGTTCACATCCTAAAGTGAAGCAGCAAAGCGGAGATAAGAAATAGTTCTTGTTGGTAGTGTTCTTGTTGCCAAGCGTCAGCAACTTTAACCGACCTAATTAACAAACGTCCTGGTAGGATGCTGATCATTCGGAGTTGTTTGTTGCTTTGAAACTGCAAGCCTTGTCCAGAAGGCACATTGTTCATCACCAACTGAGCCGGACATAGAAGCAGGACGCTACTACGGGCTCCCGGCATCGCTTCTGGTAACAAGGGTACTACTAGGAACAAGAAGCTAGTAGAAACAATAATTAGCATTTCTTTCATTAAGCTCAATTAGAATTCAAATTAGCAAAGGAATCTACATGGCAACCGAGCCGTTGGACATGCTTCAGCGGGAAAACACAATAAGGCAAAGCCCCCCAAAGGAGGCCTTACCTTCTACTCTATTCTTTTTCGTGACTTATTGATCTTATTGAGAGAGATCCAGAATTTACTAGAACTGACTTGGCAGGTTGGAGGCCATCGCTTGACCACTTGCAAAGAAGCATCGCCACAGAAGCGTTGTCGCCCTTGCCGATTCCTTGCCCAACGCAGAAACAGCTGGAATTCGCTCTCATCGAGAGAATGCTCTTCAAAATCAAAAACATCCTCTTCAAGCAGCATTAGCAGCCTGCTCTGGGAAAAGGGGAAGAAACATGAAACTAAGCCAGCTTGAGCATGCTCCAAGCGTGTCAGTGTGTGCTCCCATCATCTCCCCACTGCCCCTCATCGCCTGCTTTTGGATCAATAGATCCACGCTTGCCACCTGTGATCCAAAAGGTGCTCACTCGGTTGTTCCTGTGTTCCCTTTTGCGCCGTTGCGCCATTCGGGTCGAAGGGGCGCACCTGTGCCCGACAGCTCTGTCGTGGGAGACTTCTTCGGGCCTCTGTCGTGGTGATGCCAAACATGACGAGTGACTCCGAGTGGCCGGAGACTCGTTGGACAAAATGACGCGTTTCTCAACATGTTGACGTTCAAATGATCACAAGAGCACTTGGTTAGATGCTTGTGCGGACCATTCAAGGTCTTCAATAAACATGGTTGCATTCACCAAACGCTAGGTTCTCGTGAAAACTTGAGTGGGAAGCTCAGTGCAAGACTTGCTCCAGCCTCAGTCTGCCATGTACAAAACGCTAGTTAATAATTGTACAATTCCGGCCAAGCCCAGCCGTGTCACAAATTCTGAGGTCTGCAACTCTTGAGTAGTTGGACAGTCCATTACGAGTCCATTACGATTCCCTAGCCTCAATTTGGCCCAACTTCAAATTCTGAGGGCTCCAGACCAGGGTCGCTTTGGCCTGAGGGATGAGAGGCTGAAGAATCTGTTCACAGAAAATGTTTTGTTTCTACTAGCTTCTTGTTACTAGTAGCGAGGCCAGGAGCCCCTAGTAGCGTCCTTGTTCCTAGTAGTACGGCCAGGAGCCCCTAGTGGTGTCCTTGCTCCTCCTTTTTCAACCAAAATGATTGCTGAAACAAAAGGCACGGCCTGCCTTGTCACTGCGAGCTGACACGGCACCCATGCGCTGGAGCACTTTTTCGGAGCCTCGATTCTCATTCAGGAAATGCTCTGTGGCTATTATTGCTTTGTTAGAATACACAGAAAAGAGTCAAGTGTGCCTTAAGGGCCTATAGGGTGTAACATTCAAACATCGGCAAAGCACAGTCTGCGAGAGGCCCCAATGTTGTTTTCTGCCCACCGGGCTTCAAACGTTTGAGGAACTCCTGCATGTCATCGCAAACAACTGTGGGAGGCCTCAGGCATCTCTTGGCTTCGAAGCCGAAGGGGCAACAATAGTCGGTTTTCTTTGTGCATGAGTCTTGTTCAAGTGAGGCATGAAACAAATCTTGAACCAATCTTTCCAAAGTGCCCGTTCTAGCTCACTTCCAAGTGAGCTATGAAACTGGCCATGCACAGTTCGCGTCCGCACCGAAGGCTCACGCGGTGGTGGAGGTGGTGGCTCCAAAGAGAGGACAACAGACTCATAGGCACGGTCCAGCCCGCCCTCCAGGGCCTTGAACTGGCACAAGACCGGAGGGCATGAAGCTGCGTCTAAATAGGAACAACATGTAACAACAATGTCCATAAACTCAATCGGAGACCATCTAAATCTGTGGTGAGAAAAAATGTTGCCATGCCACGTCTCTGGAAAATCTGAGCTCCGTTCAGAAGCAGTCTTGTCCACTCGCTCCCGACTGTCCCAACCTGGGCAGCTGCACAGAGGTGCTGCTGGTCAGCGGTCCCACAAGGGCAACCGATCCAGGCGAGAAAGGAGCAATATGGAGCAGCACAATTGTTGGTATCAAAAAGCCAACCTCTGAAAGGTAAAGGGTTGCTCACAACTCATGAGGACTCATGAAAAATCCTTTGACTTCGCAAAGCGAGGTGTGGTAGATTCTCAACTCACTCGGAACACACCCTGCTCACCACTGACTCCCCTGCCAGCTGGAACAAATAGAGCATCTCGAGATGGCCTGAATTGTTGATGCAAATCAGCTGCCCATGTGGCTGACAGGTGGTGGTAGCAAATCAAGAAAATACAGGAATCTGGCATGGCAAATACCTTGTATGGTATTGTCTTTTTGTAGAGCTTTCACGTCAGTCCTGTTCAGCCTGTAGCCCAAGCTAGGTGCTGTTCAATCTTCTCGGCCCCAGACACGTTGGGCGCCGCCTTCAGCGCGTGTCCCTGACAGCGCCCAATGTTGTGAAGTTCATCACTGAAAAGATCTCTGAAGAATATGAATACAAGTCTAATGTAGAATACTCGGGGATGTTAATTATGGGGCAAACTTTGTCAGCCAATTTGACGAGCTCGTAGAGTTCCGTTTTGGGGCTTCTTGTAAGGTGTAAGGCGTGCATTCCGTGGTCCAGTTGCCAGGGAATGTAAAGGAGGTTAAAAGCAAAAGCATTGGCCCCCAACCTAATACCAATGGTCTCCAATCTAATGGCCTTCAACCTAAAAGCGATGGATTCTAACCTGCAAAAAAGAAAGCAAAGTCAAATGTTGTCCACTGGGAAGCCCTTTCATAGAGCCGATGCATGAGGTACTCGTAGAGGACTTCCACATTTCGGCGGTTCTTGGCTTGGACCTCAGATCAGACCCGTCCACATCGGGATGTGTCTGGGAGATCACCCTTCCTAGTAGCGATGCCAGGAGCCCCGAACGTAGCGTCCGATCGCTCCTAGTACCCTTGCAAAAAACGAACAGGACCTCTAATCCACAACTTTTGCTGAGCATGCATTTTTCGTGATACCCGTAGGACATCGTAGGATCGCAAAGAAAATGCTTCACAATAGGACTCTTCGGGCATATTTTGACTGCTTGTCATGCTTTGATGTATCGGTATCGGTATGGATGTCAATGAAAATAGTATGTTCGTTGACATCTCGGGCACAGCAGCTCGACGTATCTCAGAGGAATCCAACTCAAAGGGCTTGAACCAAAAAAAACACAAGCGCAGCTCGCTCCACCTTTTGTGATACCCTGCCGCTGCCAGGTCTGCAAAGGGTGAACACAGTGAACACCCTCAAGGTTGGACCCCAAGCAATTCCTGTTTCTCTCATTCATCTCCGTAGAACGTTTCCACTTCAAGGTCCAGCCATGGCAGGACCTGGTTCCCTAAGACCTGCCCCGTTTGAAGGCGAAACCAACAAACACCCTGGCAGAATCAAACACGACGGCATCCGATGCATCCGATGCGGGTGCCTCGACATCGTCACACCTCGTGACCCAAAAAAAAACATGGGACCTGCCCGCGCCAGATACAAATATGTGTCCCAAAGAAGACCTGCCAACACTGGCCATCCTCCTGACTGGTCGTTTTTTAATGTTTCATTTTGGGATCATCCTGGATGAGTCAGAAAGAAATCCTGGAAGTTGCCTCAGCAAGCTTTTCAGAAAGATCCGGGCAGATACCAACTATCTTGCACTCGCTCCCGTGGAGTGCGGAACTCCTAGCTCCCACCGGCCAATCTTGTCAGACCGAAGGTTCAGCGCGTCTGGAATCTGGAAGCTGTTTTTTTACATGCAAAACATGCCTTGTAGAAAATACGTTAAGAAAAAGACTTTAAGGAACCTAACAGCGCTTGGCTGGCTTGGAATGATGTTAGAGGATCTTCCAAAGGCTTTGCTTCTGAATTTTACAGTTGTGAGTTGAAGTGTGGATTCCTATTGCTCGTTAAAACTCTTTTAAAAAGCAAGGAGGACCTGCTTGGTCCTCTGCACTAGGTGAACGTCACAGCTTTGTGTCATAGTTTCATCCAAATCGCTCGTGTTTTGGCTGGCGGCAACCCCTCACACTGCCTCACTCAGCCCACGAAAATCACCTTGCCAGCTGCTTTCAACAGGCAATCCTCAAACATGAGAACCTCGTTATGTTTAGAGGCAAACCGTTTGCTTTTCCAGGCGATGTCCAACAAAGCTCCAACTAGAAGCCGAGAAGTGCATGCAAGTCTGATCCTCTTGAGACGTGCAACATAGTGCACCCGTATACACCTCCAGGTTGCGATGCAACCCGCCTCCCACAGTACTCTTGAATACTACTTACAGGAATGGCCTCATCACCAGTGTCGTCAATCATGATCTTGTTGGCTGCTTCCATCCTGTCAAACAGGGTGTAGGTGCTTAGCTCCAAACTGAAAAGCTCCGCCTATCAGGATGACAGGAAGGCAGGGTTCTGGAGGGAAAAATCTTGAAAAAGACCTGCTTGTGGCTTGTGTTCGAGCTCTTCCCATGTAGTGGTCGAGTGAGCTGCCTTTTGTTCTACGGTGAAAAGTGAAAACCAATCATTTCTGTTCATTTCTCACCCCGGCCATTCTGGGGCCCTGATTAAAGAAGCCTTCTTCGGCCCTTTTTGACAGCCGGTAGGCTTTGGTAGGCTTCGGTAGGCTTCCGGGCTTGGCCAGGCCGGCATCCAGCTCGGGCTCCTCAAAGCGAGCTTCCCCTGGAGCCAAATCATTGTTCACCTGAGCAATGAAAATGAACTATAGGTAACTGCAGAATTTGTTTCAAAGAGCAGCAACATGCATACATCACAAATTCATATCATTTTATATATATATATATCATATCCACTATTATATCCATGCATATATTTGTTGGAGTTGTTCATTTTGCTTTACATCATATTTTTGTCTTACTTATCCAGCATCCTTGTCCTTTAAACTCGCTCATGTCGGTGCACCGTATTTGCCAAAGTTTGGAAGGATTAAGGGTGTCAACTCGCTTCGGAGCAAAATGGCGAGAAGACTCGAAAACAAAGGAAGACGAGTTGCCATCTCCAGCAGCTCCAAACGGCCGATCGAGGAAACCCGCTGCTTCCTGGCAAAATCTGACGTGTCTAGAAGTTTTGGACATGATCAAAGGCTCACCACGCGACCGCTATTTACATTTCTTCAGCTTAAGCCCACGGCGACGCGTTGTAGCTGACTCACGGCAAATCTGCGGCCAAGCGGCGCAAAACACCGTGCGACCAAAGTCTTCAGGGAGTCATAGCGGCCCTTCACAATGGCCTCCAGGGTGTTCACAAACCATATTTCAAGCATTTTCAAATTACTCACCTCACGGTTCTTTTCGAGACTGATACAGGAGTCATCTTCTGTCAATGGTGCTATCCTTTCCAAGCCACCAGGACTCTCCACAAGAATCAGGTTTTCAAGTGATGGCTTCGCAATCGACGGAGGTGGCAATTGATTCAGAGTCACTCACCCACTATTCAAGACGCTTCGCGTCGACAGCCGCCCACACTGCGCTCGAACAGCCGAAGCGAGTGAAATGGAAGTAGCCATCTAGGCGCCAGGTTGGGGACAAGTGCAGCCATCTAGGCGTGAGGTTGGCTGTCTTACGGCTGCGTTGGAGCCATCTTGGGGCCAACTTCGTCTACCTTGGGGCCCATAACGGTGATACAACTTCGGCCTTGCCAAGCCATCCAAAAATACACCTCCAAAATGCTGTCCCCAGTGCCCCAAAACACAAAACTCCTCCAAAACGCTCTCCCCAGTGGCCCTGCAGCCCAACCATAGCCGCGCGCGCGAAAAAAGAGCCCCCCCTAGCAGAGCTATATGCCTATAGGATGTTTTTGCTAAAAGCTCGAAGGCAAGAGCCCCAATAGCATTCCCTGCACCGACAAGCGGTGTGGGCGGATTTTTTTTAGCAATGGATCCAACGACAATATACCTTCACCAAAAAATGGCAACAATGACAATCAACCCATCGGAATCTTCAGCATGTTCCATTCCGGGCCTGGAAGAAGTTCCAAACATAAAACAGCAATTATACTGGATTAGTTGGATATGGAGAACTCTTTTTGCGACGATCCAGTCTCCAGCTCTGCCAGCTCTGTTGCGCTTTGGGAGTTCTCAAACAGTCCTGCTACAAGATTGTGAAGCTCCAATCCCATGTATCACTGCCAGGGGTTCACAATAAAGGTCAAACAAAGGAACATTCTGCAACATAAACAGCACATAATGTATTATGTTATGTCTGTTTGTATCGATATTTATCTACAAACCATACTGTTTTCCAATTTTCCTCGGTGCTCGGCCTCCGAACTGGCAGCCTCGCAAGCGATCCGAAGAGGTGCCAGTCCAGTCCGTCTGTTCACCCATTGGGCTAATAGCGATGGCCTCCACCCTAGTAGCCTCTGGTTATTACAGGTGAAACGATTCCCAAGGAACCTTCTAGCTACTAGTAGCTTCTTGTTCCTAGTAGGATTGGCCTCCAAGCTAATAGCGATGGCCTTAATCCACCCCATCTTCGCTTGAGCACTACGAGTTGATGTCCCTGACGAAAGGCCAACGCTGGAGTCGGCGTTTCTACGTTTGGGTGCCCATAGCGTGTCGGGCTTGCACATGCTGCTTTTTGCGAGGCTGGACTTTCAGTATCGAATCACCGAATCTTTCAAATCAGCATAGTAGGATAGGCTTCAAATCTAGCGTCCTGAGCAACCTCGAACTTGGCTCTACCCCAAGAGTGACCCGCTGTCAACTTGGGATCAAATCAAGCACCTGGGAAAGTTATTACGTGCAGCGTGGCTTTCTGCGAACGAATCCGTAGGTCCGTAAGATTGTCTTTCGGACTAACCTTCAAATCCCATTGAATCTGAGCTCGAGCACCTCTTCATCACGCTGACGCTTCTTCCCCCGGCCCTGCCAAGGTTGAAGGTGCATGCAGGGGCTCTTCAACTGCGGGAATGGAGTTGTGGAATTGGGAGCTGACAAACTTACACAAAATGAATAAGCTACTAGTAACAAGTGCATCGCTTCTAGTAACAAGTGCCTTACTAGTAGTAACAAGAAGCTACTAGTAGCTTATTCAGCTGCCTTGGGAATCGTTTCACCTGTAGCAACAAGAAGCTACTAGGAACGGTCTTTTGAAGCTACTAGTAACAAAATGAAAAGTACGTGTCTCTTCGATCCCCAACTGATTTGGTGTCATTTGGAACATCTACTCTTTTTGCTTGCACCAATGCGCATCATGAATTGAAATGACACATACAGGGGACATAACACATTGTCGGTTGCTGCCACAGCTTCATGCCCTTTTGTGCCAGCCGATGGATTAGTGATTAGTCCATCCTCGCTATGTACATGAGGGTTTGTCAAGTATGGTCACGCCCTCAAACAAAGTCCTTCTGAGCTCGACACTTTGATTGACAAACCCTCCAGCTTGCTCAGATTTGACAAAGCAACGCTGGCTGCTGGAGCCTTTTTTCAGTGAAAGGAGCATTGAGTATTGCTTGGATCGGTTCAATACGCTTCAAATGAGGATTCCAAGTCGCTTGCCTGCAGGGGTACGAATGCTCCTGCTCAAAACGAGTAGTTCACGACCAATCAATTGTAGGTATCAGTTGTCCTGTATCGGCCTGAGGGCAGAGAGACGCTACTAAACCTTTTACATCTGAATATCAAACCCTCAGATGGGCACAGCAGGCCTCTGCTCGTGTTTCTGCTTAGGGCAGGTTGCAGCCTTGGTTGGTCCGCCTGCAGACTGAGCAGGTTCTACGCCACTCAAACGTCTTGTTCGAGTCGGGGCATGTGGGCAAGCAGGGCTCGGGAAACCCGGAACCCCGAAGGCTTGGTGCCTTCAGCC